TTTCATTCATAACCTCAGGCTTTGTCTTGAGGCTCCCTTACTTTTCTTCCCTCTAGGCTTTCTCTTCTTCTTCTTCTTCTTCTTTTTTTTTGTTGCTGTTGACATAAGAATTGCTTCAGAGTCCATGCCCTCTGTTGTATGGCACACCATTGGGTGTATTCAAATAAATAAATGTTTGGACAAATGTCGCGAATAAGTACCTGCCTCTAAAATTTGTGCATAGCATTTCTTTGGTCTCAAACTCAAATTAAGCTGCAGATGCCAAAGACATCATTCGAGAAGGCGTACAGTAATCTATTATTACAAAGGAAACTGTGCAACGTCTTCTCCAGCAGACTGCTCGTTGCGCTCATAGGTAGGCGTTCTGTGCGGTAATGGGAAGTTTAAGTCAAACTTCAAATCTTTTTTGTACCCTTTTTGAGCCGCTTTCCGACGCAATAACATCACATGACGTCTGCTCTAGGGTGAAGACTTTCCTTCTGTTGGCTATCATCAAGATTAGCCCCATCCCACCTGAGCCCTAACAGCTACAAAGACCAAGGAAAGAAAAGCCAAGGGGAGACGCGGGCCATACTATCTCGATGATGCAAAGAACGTAAATTCAGCTTTCGCTCAACTTGCCGTCACCGCGCCACGCTGTAGTAAGATGTTGCGATATCAGCAAGCTGATAAGGTTTGATCCTTCGGGCACACCCAGGCTGAGAATATTTCCCACCATAAATTTCCCCGAAACCAAAGATAAGCATTGTGACGCAAACTAAGATTCTGCTATTACGTGCACATTCTATTTTGAGCCCATTCGTTCTCGTCGTTGCCACTGCTGCTCTCCTGACTGGGATTGCGACTAATTTAGAATTTGTATTTAATCCACTGATTTTTTTGTGTAGAATAGTAAAGGATGTGCAGGCAACCCGATAGGTAATGATTGGTTGGGCTTTGATGTTAGGTCCAAGGGAATAAAAAGTGGGAGGTGTGAAGAGATCAAAAGAACGAAACTATGAGCTTCTATCAGGCCATAGCTTAAACAGCTGGGAAGAGGTGTGTGCAAAAAATGGACCTCTTCCGATCTTTCTGCTATAAATTACTTCGAGAAAAGTTGGAAGTTGGGGACGACCTCACTATAGAGTCAAATGGTTTTTTTGCTAACTAAAGGGTTTTTTACATTTTTGTACCTCTCGTTGAGTTTATTGCATCTGAGCTCCTTTTTCTCTACTTTTAAACATCCTTCTCTTTCCAGCCAGATGCGGTTCATACTAGCAGTTCTGGCTTTGGTCAGTTGTACGATGGCCGCTGTCCATCAGATGCAACTGACGAAAATCGAGTCTCAACGTACTAAGATGATGCGTAAAGGCACATGGTCTGAGTACATTAAAATGAAGAATATTCGTCGTATTGCAATGGAGCGTAGAATGGGAAGTTTCGCCAACGCCGTACCTCAGAATGTAAGTCAGTGGTGCATTGAAATAATTGCGTTGGAGATCGGTAATCGGGAATGGTGGATGCAGGATTGGGAATGGTGGATGCAGGGACGGTGATTGAATTCGAATTTTCATAACTAGTTTTTCGTATAAGAAATTCAGGTTGTTCTCAACATCAAATCGTCTTCATGTGTACGGTGCTTACCAAGATTGTTCCTTTTTCGGAATAAGCCTCTGTTAGACTATTTGGGAAATGTGCTAATGAATAATCAGATAAGGGAATGATTCCAAGTTCCACCCACAACTTGCGAGATAATGATTACGAGGCGGAGCTATAAAAAGGGGAATAGGGTGGTGGTAGTTGAGAAGGGATCTTACCATAAAATGGCCTGAAGTATTGAGCTGAAGATGGTTGAAAAGAGATAGTGATCAGAGAAAGTCATGTAAAGAATTAGGTTGGTCGACACTGAATAGAAAAGGGTTATTCGACTTGAAGGAAGATCGGGAAGTTACTTATCCTAGGTGTGACTTATAAAACTCCGTACGAGCCCGACAGGAAGTGAGACTTCGTGGAAATTGGTACTCACTTGAAGATCCTAGAGAGAGTAGTTCGAAATACGAGCGTTTTCTAGACGGATGCTTCCGCTCCACAAGGGCTGTGGGAATATATAATGTTAAAGGTACAGTTCAAGCATGAACATGGTTTCCGTCAATGGAATATCCCCCCTAAGACGAATTTGTAGCCCCCGTATACCATATAAAGCGTTTCAAACAAGAAAACAGCTCAGGTAGTACCCTTATAAGGGCTCAGGATTGTATTGGCTGTACGCCACACCCAAAGAGAGAAGAGTTCAACGGCGTTGTTGTCCACCAAAGCTCTTGCTGTCGGACTCAAAAACTCCACAAAACTATCCTGAATTGTGCCTTCAATCAGACCGTACTACTGATTGAGCGACAATGTCATGCTAAGGTGATAGATTGCTCATTGAGTACATTCCTAGATCACTGTATAGGCCAGAATGAGACTTATCATTTTTAAAGTGCTATCCATTGTTGCATTCCTTGGAGCTTTTAAGGTGAACGATTATGAGGACGAAGAGTACATTGGAAACATTACAATTGGAACCCCTGAGCAGCAGTTCCAGGTATTCTTCACTTCAATATAAGCAAGTACTCGGATTGCTATTCTTTATTTTGAGGTGATTCTCGACACGGGCTCATCGAACCTATGGATACCTGATAGTACATGTGGCCAGGTTCACGAAAATTGCCAAGATGTGAATTGTGAAAGACGTGAGTGGAAGCCTATGGTGGTGTTTTGAAGGATCTCTTACTTTCCAATTTCCTTATGAAATTTTTTCAAAGCCAGATGAATAGAGCTAAGTATTCCTTCAGCCGTTAAATGTCGAAATAGCTCGGGGAGATTTTTTTTTCTTGCAAAATCCCTTGAGTTGCTCCGACTTGATGTTTACGAAGGCAGGCGGGGTCTCGGTGGTGGCAACATGCCCGAATAACACAAGGTGTACGGATTTAAGCCCCGGTCGATGCCGGAGTTTTGCTCATAGCTCGTCAACCTTGTAAGGATTAGAGTCACGTTTGTGAGTAAATGAAGGAGAAATATCTAACACTCAGTTTTCACACAAAAAAATCGCCAACGCCAAAGTCCAAAAATCAGTCCTGATTACAACTTCGAATGCACAGGCCGTACCATTTGTATCACCTATCATCCCGTTAATCATCGGTCGCTAGGAGGGCGACAGTGACATCTGAATTCGTGCTTATCGTAGTGACAAAAAGGTTACTCTAAAATTCCATAGATAAGAGTGGTCTGACTTACCGGTAAAAAATGAATTGGAATGAATTTAAACGGATCGCTATTTTTCTATACGAATTGTCTATTAAGTGGGCGGGGTTTAGAGTTGAGGGGCGGAGCTTCTTCTAGACTTCTTCTTCGATTTCTATTTATCCATCCATCAAGATAGAGGGGTGCCTTCATTCAATTTCAATTTCATTCCAATTCATTTTTCATCGGGAAGTTAAACCGCTCCTATCTATGGAATTTTAGGGTACAAAATGTAAAGGGAGTTTCGACTAGTCGTCAGGTTGTTCCCACATGGAAAGCTTTGACAGCCTGGAAGACATGATTTCGCTGCCTCCCTTACTGCTTTTTCCGCATCTGACTATGCGAAACACAGATAGTTAAAGTGCTGCCCACAAATCTCCAAACCAGAAATGCCGAAAATGTAAATGGCGAGAATGCCGTAACACCCTACCGCGGTTACAAAGTTTGCTTCTTATTCGAGCAAACCACTCTCACTTCTGAACTCATTTTTTGAAATTGACGTTAGCGGTGGAGCTCGTACCCCATCTGTCCACCAAACTGGAAATTGACGGCTTACGGATTTTCAAAACTGACCAATCAATGAAGCGCATTTCATTATCTCTGAATACGTATAAAACGAAAACGAGAAATCCAATNAAAATGTTCCAGTGGTTTGTGAATTTCTGTGCAGTGATCAGTCATGCTGTGGTGGTGGTGTGAACGCATGCCAGGGTAAGAACATATTCACGTCGTCGAAATCTTCTTCGTACGTCGCCAACGGTCAACATTGGTCCATTCAGGTTTGGAATCGCTATTCTATAAGGTTGACTCATTACTCTCGAAAAAATCAACTAGCTCTCTTCTGTCTGCAAAAACAGGACATTTCCATATTAACGACTTTCAGCGTTTTCAAAGTACGACCTTCTATGAATCTCAAACTAACTCTGATGTGAAGGGTATCTTGACTCTTTCGCAAACTTCGCATTGAACTTTACTAGACTGACTTCTGAGCAGTTTTGCCTCCTTCACGGCTTAAGGGACCATAGCAATTCCACACGACCCTGATAAGGCACGAGATCCATTGCGGGCAAGTGCGCTTACCAACAAGCACTATCTCTCCATGCCTTGAGCATGCGAACTTTGAACGCTCACAACTTTTTTGGTAGACTCATTTAGCAGTTTTAATTTCCATATTTGTCAATAGCTTTCCGAGCCCTACTAATACACCTAGGTTTCTATTCAAAGTTCTACGGGAATTTGAAACACTGGAGGTTTGATCGCTTTGCAGTTGGAAAGAACCGAATTAGGTCCATTTGGCAAGGGTGGGGGCTAGGCCTTAGCCAATGAAGCCGTCAATGCTGGTTAGGTAGTCGATATAAACGGCACCCGTGATTTCCTATTTTATAGCACCTTCTTCATCACACCCTTGTTTTTACTGAACACAGTAGTTTTCAAGGGCTCTAGACAGAAAACATTCCTCTGTTGGTCACATGTGGAAGAAAATGAACTCGTGATGCCTCTCTCCATCGTTCGAGAAGGGGAGGCGGTCATTTGGCGCGTTTCCTTCCATCGCGCCGTCCATTCGACGCGATTTTTGAGCTGGACAACTCGGCCAGGGATTCACCCTTCTGACCATGCTAATTGGTCAACCCACTTCCCATTGAGCTGATATACGCCCGCGATGCCAAACAAATGCGGATCTACTTGTATTCTGTCTGTTCCCATCATTAGCATGTGAGGGGAATGAGTCACCTAGACGAGTTGTCCGACACAGAAACCGCGTCGAGTGGGCGACGCGATTCGTGGTTCCTTTTCAAATGACATATACACTCTTAGAAAAGGTTTACCATAGTCGAGTTGTTTGGAAATTATAAGAATTTTTTCACGAGTCAGACGATCGCTTTGGCTTCCAGCAGGTCAACGATTATTCCAATAAATTATCATTCGAGTAGAGTAGTTGCATTCATTTAAAACTGACGGGATTGGCCGAGTGACCCTTCGGTGCAAAAGCGCACGTTTTTGGCGAAAGTTATACTCGCATGGTCAAGCAAGCTCTGGAGACATAGTTACAGCCAAACTGGGATTTTACCCTCATCCCGCGAAGGTGAAGTACGTGGTGTGGGTGACTGGTTGTGTGTGTAAACTTTGGATTTCCCATTTTCTTGAAAAACTGAAGCTTCTTCTGCTACGCTAAACTAATTTGTTTCAGTACGGTACCGGATCAGCAGTCGGTTTCCTAGGTCAAGATACCGTACGATTTGGAGGAATCGGTACGAATCAGCTTGCCGTGCCTAACACCGTGTTTGGACAGGCTACAAGTCTAGCGGCATTCTTTGCTGATGTGGGTGGAGAACTTGGAATTTCTTGACACCTATTGAGTAATGCTCCATTAGCTTAGCACCTTTCTTATCACTTTCATGTTTTTCAGCAACCGATCGATGGTATTCTTGGATTAGCATTCACGACAATTGCTGTCGATGGTGTCACCCCTGTATTCATCAATGCTGTAGAACAAGGACTTGTTGATCAGCCAATTTTCACCGTCTTTTTGGAGCATGTAGGCGGTATGTGTTCTCTACTCAATTCAGTTATTCGATTTGTTCCTATATGTGGCGATGAGCTAGGAAATCGTTATCTCCTACAAATGAATTGAAAGTATTTGGGAGGGATAGATGGCTTGTTTTTGTGGAAAAATGGGGAGAAGGGCCAAAAAACCATAGAAGGAAATGACAGGGTTCAAGACGGACGGACTCGCCTATTGCAGCGACACCGATCATTTCCCATCGAGTTGTAGATTCTCATCGGTGTCGCTGCAATATCCGCTTGTGTCCATCTTGAGCTCGATCATTTCTTTGGCCCAGCAAAGCGCTTTCCGGTCTTCCTTACTGGAATATCCAAAAGCATTTTTTTGTGGGCTATGTTGGAGTGGTCGGTTAAGTTACCCTTAGCAATGGGCTTGGCGTATCTTCAGGGAAAAATTACTTTGAAGGCATAGTTCACGATAATCTTGGGCTATCCGACTTTCAACGATTAATTTAATTAGCAGTCCAAAATAGTGCAAAGGACCGAAGAAAATGTGTAAGACGGCATATTAGAGGAACAAAAGTTTCCAGGGGTTGTCGAGAATGTAACACGAAAGTTGCACGGATGGGGTATATGGTGACATTGCGTACAGATAACCACAGTTAGCCAAAAATGTTTAAAATTGTTTTCCATCCAGCTATCAATCATGACATCGGTGGATTTATCGTGCGCTGCTCTCCTATTTACTGCTACTCTAACAGAACATGTATTTGAACATATTAATCACAAGGAGCAGCAGTGAAATAAGAGAAAAGTTTAATACATTTCAACCTACGCTACATCGATCAGCTGATTGCTTTTTCACCGAAGCTGCTCCAATGCAAACACTATTGCCCGGCAATTAGATTTCATAGTCATTCTGAAGAGGGGTGTGGCATTCACACGATACAATCTCTGGTCCCTAATTGTACCTTATTCAGGACGTTTTTCGACCTTATAACGGCAGGTATGGTCTGAGAGTGTGACTCGAACACAAAAAATAAAGTTTTGACGCTGATCAATCCCGTCTGAGGGATGCGCCCCGCATTCGAATTCCATTCAGAATAGAGGCGTAATGAGTTCGTGGGATTTTTTTGAAATTGAAATTCCTAAGCCTAAGCCTATACCATGACTTGGCCAGCCGAGGTACAAGTTATCCTCCCGGACAAGTCTGGTACCAATGCACCGACCCCAGAGGGATGGAAGGCTTGATTGGCCTAGACGGGCATCGATCCGGGCCGAACCCACTTGCCACTACACCACCTCCGCCCTCTCAAAATCATATTGTGGGGAAATATCAGGAACCATTTTATCGTGGACTGCGCCTTCGAAATTACCTATTTAATATTTGTGTAGTAAGGTCTAGTGTCTCCAATGATGCTCCTGAGATTTAAAGGAATCAGACAAATAGAATCGGGGAAACGAAAGAGATTCCGAGAGTACGCATGGGTGGATTTCGTGAGTGCTTCGATTGATTATTTCATATAAACGATGCGGATCAGTTTGTGTTTTAACGGAACAAAAAAATTTTCAGCTCAGGACAATGTTTATGGCGGTGTTTACACCTATGGTGGTTTGGACACCACAAATTGTGGCCCAGTACTTGCATATCAGCCACTTTCCTCGGCAACCTATTTCCAGTTCAAGGTTAGTCTTCTAGAGCATTCAAGGATTTTATATTCCTCATAGATTCATAGACGTAAGCTCAAGAAAAGAACTTCACGTAGAGAATATGGGCGCTCTTCCAACTCCAAATCCGGCAATTTTGATTACTTTTCAGCTTGATGCCGTTGCTTCAAGTACTTACTCATCATCCAAAGGTTGGCAGGTGATTTCCGACACTGGCACCTCATTGTTGGCTGCACCAACTTCAATTGCTAGCTCAATCGCTGATGCTAACGGAGCTACGGTACTGGTTATTACTTTTGCATTTTAACGAAGCACGTGATAGAGGGAAGGACGAGATTTCTTACTGTATGATTAACAGATGCGGGACATTATGGCCCTTTTCGGTTTGCAGTAAGCTCTAGAACTTCATTAATGGCCCCAAACTTCTGGACTAATTGGGAAGTTGACTCATTATAAACTCGAAGAAAAACAAATCCCCCTCTTCGTCATCTTTTTAGGAAAGGTCGGAAAGATTATCAAAGGTATATTCTATGGCTCATTGAGAAACAGCCTTATCAGCATTTCCCGTTGGCAAAGTAGAGATAATGAAGTAATCACGTCTAACATTGATTTCACCCATCGCTGCAAGTGGGTGATTCACAGGCGAAACAAATGTAGGGGTAGATAACAGAATCCGAAAAAACAGACGTTTCGGTATTCTGTCAGATCTAGTCCACATAAGGATCTGAGCGACTCGCTGAAAAATTGCTCACAGGGCGCTTAAATGTTGAAGAAGACAGGAATATCGTCGAGAATCGGCTGTCAGCTTTGATCCTCAGCTTCATGGTTTTTACTGGAAATTTTGTAGAGCACTTGGGACATGGCTCATGATGTGAGCCCACGAAGCGCAGAACTCGAGATGGAAAACCGCTTTTTCCAAGTTGACACTCCCAAGACAAGCTTATATCCAGAAAGGGGTTTCCCTAGCTGCACACTCCCACACACATCCAAATGAGGAATACGAGACTCTCGGTCCAAGCTTTACCCCTCACCAACTCCATGGAACGAGATTATAATGACGGTAGAGGGCGTTTAGACGAGTTCTCACTGTTAGGAGTTACAGAATTGGCATGTTACATGTATTGGCTATCAACTGATAGGGTTGAGATCACTCCGTTCTGATCGCTCCCACACGTGGCATAGTCCCTACAAAAATTTTGATTTCGCCTTTTTTAAGAGAATTGACCGACAATGGACGTCGGGACCGGTTTTTGAGCCCTTATTGCGTACTATCCGGACCGCTTTCTGACCTGACAACAACGATTTGGAGCATTTCAGAGATTCTTTGCTTTTATCGTGTATTCCTTACAAAAATCCAGGTAACCCCCTCAGAGAGTTCCATACACTCTATGTCAGAGCATCCAGCCCTGAGACAATCCCTATTCCACTCAGTTGTGGGGATTCGTAAAAGTAGAAGCAGCACTAGCACCTTTTCCGAAAGTCTGTAGGCCCGTCTCCGAAGAAGTGACTGTGAACACCTGATTATGTTGGATCGGGCAGGTAACCAGTCGTCATGGAACAATAGAAACATTACTGGTTAACAGCTTTCAAATGATATCGGTAATATTTAGTAATGCAATGAGTTTCAGTACGACGCTGAAAACGAAGTGTACTTCATCGACTGCAACGCCAAGCCAAGTTTGGATTTGACGATTGGAGGCAACAAGTACACCATCACAGCAGCGAACTTGGTCATTCCTTCGGGTGATGGTCGTTGTCTCCTGGCCATCTTCGGTATGAACAACTTCGGATTCGGTCCGGCATGGATCCTTGGTGATCCATTCATCCGCCAGTACTGTAATGTTTATGATGTTGGACAACAGCAAATTGGTTTTGCTAACTCGCTTCAAAAGTAATATGTAAAGCTATTATTGAAGACTATGACAAATAAAAATTATCGAAAATTCGATCATTATATGAGTTACAGTAGGACGTTACAGGCCCAGTTCACTTTAACTTTAAGGGACCACTTCTATGTATGTAGGTTGAAAACGAAGGATTATAGGTCAATAGAAACCATGACGAAGGGAGCGAAAAATCTGTCACTGCCATATCCGGGAAAAAAACTCCCTCAAAATAGAGAAAATAGAGGTTGTCCGAGATCACCATGACGGAAAAGGTACGCAAGTCGCACTCGGACGGGGTACGGTACAGGATTGACTAGATCAAACCAAAAATGTCAAGAACTGCCTTCACTGTCGTCACGGGTCAAGTTGTATAAATTTCTGACATTGGCGCCCTTGCGGATGGTGCAGCATATACAATACCGTCGAAACTATTCCGCCTTTGAGTGTTGAATTCTACAACGCCGGTAAAACTCGTCTGCCTCTGCGTATAGCGTACAAACAATACAATCTTTGAGCTCTCATATCCAGGTTATGACGAAAATGGAAGATACGATGGAAAGTAGCACGATGAAGGCGAAGAAACTGCGTAAACCGGTGTTTACGAAGTACAAAAAAGGCCTCGTTGAACAGGGGGTGGACGAGATTTAAACCAGAAAAATGAAGAAGATTGGGACGCTTAGACGAGCTATGTATACAATGTGTGTCATGAGTATGTGTGGGTCCTGTTGCGAACAGCTGACTATGGTAAGCGAAAATTCACTCACCCATGAGCATAAGTTAACAAAAAATACCTTAGTAACAGCAAAAATAGCCCACGTTTGTCAGCCTCTTGAGGTAGGAACTCAGAATAGTGAACGCAGCAGCAAAAAGAAGAATAGAGAAAAAGGAGTTGGAGAAAACATCGCCTCATCCTCGACGATCAGCTGATTGTGTGTGGGCCCTAGAACGAATATTGCAATCTGTATAGCCTCGACACTCGTCTGACGTGACATCGATCGAGGGGCGGGAAGTCCGGGCGATCCGGTAACGGGTCTTCCACTATGCCCTAGCTGTTGAATTTAGGGACTCGACTGCGCCCTTCCTGTTACCCTTGGAGGTCTTAGGAGAGATTACAAAAACCACTTTTCTCGTTACTCTGCGATTTTGAATACCCATTACTTCTCTACAGAAGAATCGTGTTTTACCTTCCCACAAATTCCCACTCCTTCCGCTTCGCATGCCCTGTCAGCTACTACCGATGTATGTAGATTTCCTAACGTCTTAATTATGCCGGATTCCAAAGCAGCATCCCTACTTCGACGGAAGCAAGCACTTTGTGTCAGATGACAACACAAAAAGAATCCTAAGTGCGTGCCGTCTCATCAGATGGTCTAGCTTTTTATGGGAAGCGTCTGGGTGGTGATAGAAGTAAGATGGCAGGAGGGCAGGAAAACTGACTGCTCGTCGGTGCTTGACCAATAGGAAACAGAAATTGAGGTTCGATCTCGGAAACAACTGTGATCCATCAAGTGTTTAATCAAAGAAACGGACCCACTTTATCCCGTTATCGCTGACTACATTGAGAAAGAGTCATAAATAAGAATTTATGATAACAACAGTATGATGTTTTTTGAGCATTCAATAAGCCATTCCTAGGAAGTATAAGACTCTGCTGATAAAGAGATGCAGTTACTTTATTCTCTCAGTATTTACGAACTCGCTCTTCTTTCCCTTCTTTCGCTCTCTCTTCGCATTTTGTTATATCGATTTTGGATTGCAGTACTTTTCAAGTTTGCCCTTTGTGAAGGATAATGGAGCTTCCTGAATGTACAGTTAACTTGTGGAGCAGTTCATGATGGTCAAAGGTCAAGTCTCCTTTCCGTATAAATCGATTTTACGAAAGCGCTTAACCGAGCCAAGATCAATTTGCTCGACTAGACCATATATCGAGAAAAAAGTACACTCAAATGAGGATGGTTAGGTGACCGTTGGACCGGGAAATTTGGATCCTAGAGAGATCATGCAGCTCCTGTCCGGCTGAAAATGAGAAAGCAGCGACTTCGATGGTATGTGCACGTACCGAGAAGGCCACATCACCCGATAAGGGAGACAATGGAATTCGAAGCTCGAGGGAGGTGACCACGTGGAACTCGAGAGAATAGATGGAGATGTGATCAAGAAAGACTTGTTCGAAACGAAGATGATGGGGGAAGGAGCCGTAGATAAAAAGAAGTGGCGAAAACTCAGAGAATAGAGGTAGTCGCGACTGAGCGGGATTAACGCTAGGGGGACAATAAAAAGAGCGAGGGGAACTTCCGACAATGCCAGTTGAACTGCTTACATATACCGAAACTATTGACAATGTTCTTCAAAGTCTTCCATGGTATCGACACTGCTGAGAAGACACCGAATAGTCCGGTGAAGGAGAGAAATGAAGTTGGAGGCTCACGGGAAGTGATCATAAGTAGCCCCAAAGAAGAGGTGGGGAGATTTGATCAAGAAGGACTTTGCCGAAGCTAATGTAATGATAGAAGATGCCGTAGATGGAAGGAATTGAAGACGGTTGTCAAATTTAGCGGGCCCTGCGACGGTGCGGGATTAACGCTAGGGAGAGGAAGAGGAAGAAGTTTCTCAGCCCATCTTTTGAAACGTCCAGGCCTTTTGAATGTACATGTAACTAACAACAGTTGTACCGTTTGTGGGACATTAACAGTCGTCTTTTTGTTTGATGACCACGGTGCAAAATTGTGACACACGTGTCAAAGTCGCGTTCGCGGCCGTAATCGATCCCTTAACGAACTTGGTTCAAGGATCGTGTCCCGAAGGGTAACAGTTCCGTCTAGAGACTTTCTATGCTTTTTACGGTGCAGACCCCACTGGAAGGATAAAAGCATTGTATATTATTTTTTTTCGCAAAGCATAATGCAGCACAGCCAATGTGGGTTCAAACGTCAGCAGGATTATGAATGGAAGCAGATTAAGTGAAAGCACTCTTGAACCTAGCTTGATCAACAACAAGAAATTTCGTCCTCAATATAATATGCCCAATTTTATAAGTAATCCCAGTATTTCCAATAGTGAGCCCCAGTTTTCTAATGGATGTTCAACCTCTTTCACACCAACTTTGCAGCGGTGCACTCCAGCATTGCTTCCATTTCCACTGTGTAAAACACGAAAATATTTATATATTTTAATGCAGACNTCGCAAAGCATAATGCAGCACAGCCAATGCGGGTTGAAACGTCAGCAGAAACGGAAACGGGAATGGAAGCCGATTAAGTGGAAGCACTCTTGAACCTAGCTTGATCAACAACAAGAAATTTCGTCCTCAATATAATATGCCCAATTTTATAAGTAATCCCAGTATTTCCAATAGTGAGCCCCAGTTTTCTAATGGATTCAGTTTTTCACACCAACTTTGCAGCGGTGCACTCCAGCATTGCTTCCATTTCCACTGTGTAAAACACGAAAATATTTATATATTTTAATGCAGACGTCATATATGTCTTCATTATTCCCTTTTTTATCAGACAGGTTTTTAGCTGAATGCGCTTTATCCTGCCTCTACTGGCCCTTCTGGGCTATGTACTAGGAGGCGCCGTTTATAAGGCACCGGTGAAGAGAATCGAAAGCGCCCGGATGAAAATGATCAGAAGTGGGACTTGGGAGGCGTTTGTAAAGAAGAGAAATGCCATGCGAGCGAAGTATACGACGAATGCTGACATTCATAGACAATCGGTAAGTGCTGTGCAGTGTCACCCAAGCTTTTTGTTTACGTTTACTGCTCTGTTACTATAGTTGCAAACCGTAGGTAGTCTGATGGCGGCAGTTAAGATTCCTTGTTGAGGGAAATGTCTCGAAAATAGGTCACTACTCGATCAGCTACACTACACAAACCCTGCTTCATGGAAATAGTGACAGAAGCAGAACACCACAGGCGCTGACCTCGAAAGAAGCTCCTGACATACATCTTAAGTCGCCATTCGTCTGTTTCCGGCATAGACGTAAAGGCATTATTAGGAGTGGTGATTTCGTTTGGCTTGATTACCCCGATGGAAATTGTTGACGTCAGTCATCTTTGCGACATTTCATTCGCAATGTTTTTAAAATCCGTTCCCCTACGTATACCTCATCTAGCAGGATCTTTAGAATAATGTTTTTCCGTCCATCTACTAATATAATAGATATAATAGCTATAAGAGAACAGCGGTAAGAGACGGGAGGTCGCGGACGTAAAATCGTAAGGCTCTTATGTAATTAACAATTCGCGAGATCATTACGTATTTGATAACGGTCTCCTCATTTTCATCAAACGATTCCACGACCCTTAACTGTCCATGAAAACCCAACAGAAAACGCCAATTTTGGTAGTGCATATCGGTCATGATCACGAAGGACTGCAGCCGACGACCTTGGCACTATTTCGTGCTTCGAAGGAGAAAGGAAGTT